TTTGGTTAAATGAGGGATCTGTTTTTAAGAGTTTCTATATTGGTTTCAGTGCTTTGAGAAAAGGTTTTTTGAATGGATGTAGACCCATTATTGGCTTAGATGGATGTTTTTTTAAGACCATGTATGGTGGTGTTCTTCTCTGTGCTGTTGGAAAAGATGGAAACAATCAGATTTTTCCATTGGCATGGGCAGTGGTGGTATCAGAAAATGAAGAATGTTGGAAATGGTTTGTGACCATACTCATGCAACAGTTGTGCAACAATGATGGATTAGGGTGGACTTTTGTTTCTGACCATCAAAAGGTAAGCCAATCCTATATTATTTCTTTAGTAAAGTTTGTCACTTATTCACTTATTTATTGTATTCACTCTAACTAATCTTATTGTGTAGGGCCTCCTCAATGCCATCAATGATTTGCACCATTTGCAGAGCATAGAAACTGTGTCAGACACATTTACATGAACTGGAAGAAAACACACAAGGGGCAACCTCTGAAAAACAGAATTTGGAAGACTGTGCATTGCACATTCATGGCTTCATATAACGAGTCTTTGGAGGAACTGAAAGATGAGAGCGTTGAGGCATATGAAGACTTCATTGACAAGGAAACTTTCAGGTTTTGTAAGGCATTCAAATATGAAATTCCAAGATGTCCAATGATTTTAAATAATTTTGTGAAACCTTTAATAGTACTATTATGAAAGCAAAAAAGAAGACAATTGTTGAAATGTTGGAGATGATAAGGACTTATGTTATGGAAAGGCAGGTTGATAAGCTGGAATTGGGTTGTGCTGTGACTGATAAGATTTGTCCTAGGATTAGGGTGAAACTAGAGGACTCTAAGTACAAAAGTAGAGAGCGTGTGTGTAAAGCCTCTGTAGGAAATAAATTCCAGGTCACCATTTTATATGACCAGTTTGTGGTGGATTTACTAGGCCATAGTTGCATTTGTAGGGCTTGGGATTTATCTCGTGTTCCATGTTTGCATGTATGTTCTGCAATTCATTGGTTGAAAGAAGATGCTACTGGTTATGTACATCCATATTTGAGGTTGGAGAGATACATTGCTGTCGATTTCACCCCTTTGGAGCCTTTAAATGGGAAAAGAATGTGGTCTGAGGCTATTGGGGAGCCAATCAAACCACCACCTTATAGAAAAATGCTAGGCATACCAAAAATGAAAAGAAAAATTGCACCAGAGGAAGAGACAAATAGTACAAAAAAATTGAGAAGGTTTGGGTTGGAAATGACATGCCATAGGTGTTTTCAGATTGGTCACAATAAAAGACATGCTCAAATGAACATGTCTCTAAATCAGCCCCAGTAAGTATCACCGTTTAATTTAGTTCTTTTACATGCCATAATAAACTCTGAAATGAATACTTGTTTTTTGTTTTGTTTTTTCTTTTTTTTTTCTTTTTTTTTTGTAGAGAGCAAGAGAAAGGCCTAAAAAAGGAGGTGACATCCCAGCACAATTCAGTAGAGATCAAAATGTAGCCCAACAGAATGATCTCCAAACAACAAGAAGAGGAAGAAGAAAGAAAAATTCTGCTAGGGCAACCTCAACAAGTTCAATGACGTCTGTTGGTATACTAAGGAAGGAGAAGACACTGATAATCCAACTTCTTAACCTTATAAGTTTATTAAGTATATTTGAATAAAGTGTATATGGTCTCAGAAGAAATTATTGAGTGTTTTCAGTACTTTGAGCGTTATGAGCTCATATTTTTAACATCATTATTTGAGATAATCAAACATTACCGGCAAGAAAAGGTTATGGAGTGATGGTCTCTGAGGAAACTGGGAATATATACATGAAGGTATATGTTCAATAAGTATCTATATATATGATGTGAATCTGAATTGAGTGTTTGCATGTATATGTGTTGACTGAAAATTAATATTTTGCTCAATAGATGCCAGGAGAGAAGAGGGTTCATTTTTTGCCAAATACAAGGGCTTCAACAAGCGGTACTAGGGCTAACAACAAAAACAAAAGAAGTGGCTCAAGTGTTGAGGAAATCTGTGGAACTCAAGAGTGTGAACAAGCAATCCAAAGTTCAGAAGAAGTAGTACTGGGAATTATGTTTGTGGTGTTGATCTGTGGAACTCACGGCAGTCTCTATTTTGTTACTTAACAGCTTGTGTGGTCTAAGAACAAGGATTATGTTTGTGGTGTTGATCTGTACACTAGGAATTATGGTTTTGTCTGTTGTTTTCCTGTGATTGGGGTGTATGGTCTAAAAACACCATTTTGTTGTTCATCACATACCATTATCTTCACCAAAATAAATCAACATCAACATACTTAAACACAACTTCAATAATAACATAATATTGTTCATTACATAACCAAAACAAAGAACAAACAACAAGAACTAAGTGTCTTCAAATAAACACAACAACATTTTGGATACAACATTGATCATATCATCTCCAAACCAACACAAAAAGTCTATCTCCAACAACTCCATCTTCTCCACTTAAGCATCAAGCCATCATCAACCAACCACATACAAGAAGAACAAAGAGACACAAACACTAAAAAAATTTCTTTTCTTTTCTTCCCTTTTCACAAGTGTCTTTCACCTTCTTCTCCAATTCATCATTCTCGATTTTCAACATATCCATCTCCATAACCTTCGTTTCTAACCTTTCATTTAATAGTTTCTCCATAACTTGTTTGCATATCAATTGCTCTTCAAGGGACTTTACTTGACTTTTCAACTTCAAATAGCACCCTTTCTGATAAGGTGGAAGTTCAGGATCCAACCAAACAAAATAACGACAATCTTTTTCCTAAAAAAAGAGTAAAAATAC